TGTAGGTAAATTCAAGTACAAGTAAATTCAAATACAAGCGAATTCAAGTTACCTTTCGATTTTTAATATTTATTGGTTTATAGTTTATTGGCATTTACTATATATTTGCCTGGTATGATGTTAACCAAAATTATTTAAAATTTTAAATTAACATTAAGTAGGTAGGGGTATCTAAATAAAACACTGTCCTAAAAATATATAATTTTTTAATTAATAATTACAAAAAAACATGGTATGGCAAAAAATATCGTAAAAAAACTGTAATAATTTTTAAAATAATGTTTTAAATATATAAAATACTTTAATTTTATTAACTAAAATTTCATTTAATTTCTTTATGCTTAGTTATTAATGTTATAACTTACTGCAATGTTTTTTTTTGCAGCAGGTGGTGTTCCAAAAACAGTTGAATCTGAACTAAAAACCCATACATTAGATATACATACATATAGGTAATAAATAATGTTTAGAGGTAAACAAAAAATTTATATTTTGTATTTTTACCTGTTGGATAAGTCATCCAAAAATAGAAAGTCCTCACACCGTCTGAAGTTTGCATCTTTTCTAATATATCTAGTATCATTTGCACGTACCAAAACATTTTTAGGAAAACAGTGTTCTAAACACAACTCTGGGTTTTTACGAAGGGGCTGATTTTCAAGGATTCCTATTAGAGAAACCCAAAGTTTTCTTTTCTCAGAATCTTGCGGAAACCTAAATAGAATATTAAAAAATATGTATAGGTGCTCAATAGGTAAATCATTTTTAAGGTATTCTACATTTTACGTTAAAATTTCTTTGCCACTATTCAATAATTATTTATTGGTATAAGAAAAATTTACTAATTTATAAAAGGAATATCACTTTAAAAACTGTTTTAAGACTGTTGTAGACTACACAAGTTTTTGATACAATTTCTTGTATAATTTAAATTGTATATTATCAAACCTGCAGCAAATTGTCTGAAAAATTAGATTGGATAATCATTTTTCAAACAATTTACTATGTGATCCTATATAATTAAAATTCTATAAGAAATTGTATCAAATCTTGTACAAGCCCTACTCCACTGGTTCAAATGAAAACAACATATCTTAACCTAAAAATACTTACCGATGAAACCATACATTTCGAATTAAATGATCTACCTTTTTGAACACTACACATGCATGTACCATAATTCTTTATATTTCTCACAAAAGTTTACAAAAATAGTATTTTATAAATGAATAAATCAATAAGTCACACAGAAACTGTCAGATACTGTCAGAAATACAAAATAGCTGTTAGACCTGATTGGCAACGTTGCGGCTGGTTACGGTACTACATTTCATTCATAAAAATTGTAAATTCGTAAAATAAGATATTTAGCGTTGCCGTATTTACGGAGTTCTTCGAAACCCTAATATTTTGTTTAGATTAATATTGACTTTTTAAAAAAAATTTAGCTTATATTAAAACTTCAAAGAATAATTTGATTAAAAACATATTTTTATTTATATAATATAAAATTATAGTTACAGGATACATCAAATTTTATTTTTCGAAAGTAATTTCTCCAAATAATTTTGAGAGACTTATAAAATCGGCAAAGATGCAATAAACGAAAATCTGGTGGGAATAATGATTTGCCACATAAAAATGTAAACAATTTGGTCTCTTAGTTGTAATGTCTTTGGGTTTAGCAGTTAATTATATAATAAGGGGTGAGAGAAACAAACATATTTAAATTCGGTGTCTAGTGGAGTAGGGGAAAGAGGAGTAAAATAATTTGGTGTATTCTGGTGGAGAATAATGTTAGTTATTTTCCAACAGGCCCTATTTAGGTAGCGCAGACTTAACTAGAATTCACAGAGTACAAAAATCTTGTTTAAGATTTTCATATGGAATACGAAAACACATAAAATGCCAATATTTTTGGTTGGATACAAAATACATGACCAAATTATAGTCGCAAAACTAAATTAGAGGTAAATAAAACAACATAACCCCAAAAATACTTTTACGCTTAAAATAATATTAAATACCTTGGACAATTGTTGAATTAACACAAATACTTCCAATTTATTAACGTCGCAGTTATTATTTAAACACAATTTTTAAGTAAGCACAATTAAAATAGTCTTAAAAGGCTTTATATTTTTTTGTTGTTTTGTTTGGAACTTTGAGTAGCCGAGGCCTATCTAAGGGCTGATGGTGGGCTGGGCGAGGCGTATTCGCTTCTAAATGTGTGAAGCTTGAGCACAGAGATACTATTCTTATTTATGAAACGAGGCCGTGATATAATTTAGGTCCCAAGTAAGCATAACTATTTTTACCTATAGAGTTTTTTTAGATTTTACTATTATAGCAATATTTAATTTACCTGTATTTATAATTTACCTTATCGTAAAGTTTCCTTACGTTGGTTTCTAATAATAATTTTGGTTCATAACTGATAAATATTTAATACTCCAACTTCTCGATAAAGATCTACTGTTGGATAAATCCTAGGTCAATGAAATATTCTTTTATGCCTTTTGTATTTTTTTTAAGTTACTAATTCTAAAATCCAGGCTAATATACCGTATGACAAAAGACTTTCAAAGTCATAGTAAAGAATTTTTATATACCGAAATTAAGTTTAAACTTTCTGTGGTAAATAGTCTTGCCATCCACCCATGAAAAAATGCAGCTTTTTATGATATATTCATTTATTCTTATCTCAGATGTGAGTCGACTTAGGTTATTTGTAAATTTAATAATAATAATTTAATTTTCAATTTTAATATTTGATGGTGTAAAATGAACAAAAAGAGTGTTTTTTTTTATTGTAGCAATCTGCTATCAAAAAATAGCAATAGTTGTAAAGTCGTTCTGTATTGTGATTTTTATTTCTATTTATTTCCTTCATAGACTGTATCCCCCGCAAAAATTGCAGTGTTAAAGAATGTTTTTATTCAAATAATTATTTATTTTTCCAACCACGTCGGCTATGGCATCGGATATTTACATGTTTTGTTGAAAACCATATTGATTTTTAAAAAATACGTATTTTAATTATGAATCGATGTTTTACTTTTTTGTAATATATTCTTTAATAAAATAGGAGTTTAACGAAATTGGTCGATAGTTACAAGATTTCAGCTTGTCATAATTTTTATATTGATGTAAAACTTTGTTTAATTTTAGAGATTTCGAAACAAATATAAAATGGGCCACATGTAGCGGTTCAAAGGACTCCCGGATTACACGGCTTTACCTTGCTATCCCGCTAGGTATTTTTAGCAGCAACAGAGACATGTCCTTATATTGAGTCAGAGTGCATCGCACTCATTCTTCTGCGTCCCTAAACTCATACCGTGTTACATTAGTTCGTCGTAGGTTGGTTCAAATGAGTCGCTCAATATTCTCAACACTTGCTGCCTCCTAGTCTCTCTGCCTACAAAACATCCCATTTACCGCACGAATCGCAACATGCATTTTTAAGAGCCCCGATCTTGAAATTTTGACGAAAAAAACGTAGTAAAAGCCGAGCATCCTTTTGCACGATTAATGCTGGATTAGGTGGTATTAAAAGGAAGGTTTTTACCATTTTTTAGAAAATAATGAAAATTGCTGACTCATAATATACAATATTGTTTATTGTAATTAAGTAAGCGTCTTTAGATAAACAAAAATCTTTGAAACAAAATTAAAAAACTAAAACGTCAGTAAAAAAAGAAAACTACAATATAAATTTTACTTCTTGACTTGTTGCACCGTCTTAGTTTAAGGAGTGTTTAAGCGTAAACTAAGATTAAAGACAAAAATTTCGTTGCACTGATTTTTAAACTTACGTTAGTTGGTATAATCGTGGATTAACTTAAACGGTCATCTATGGTGGTTTAAGCAGTGGTTTAGAGTGCGTGCATATGCAAAAATATATATAAAAAAAAAAAAAATCAACAGAAAATCCAAGCAGTAGAGATATAACTAAAATTAGAAAGCTATATATTACCTAAAGTAATGGACTTTGATAGAGTGGAAGTAGATTTCGAGGACATATTTGATAATGACAGGGAAATTTTGGAAATTATTAATAATGGCCTTCCAAGACGGGTATATCAACGAACGAATTATTTCAACGAAATGGATGACTACGTTTTTTTTAGAAAATTTCGTCTTTATAAATAAACCCTGCTGCAAGTCTTGGAGTAAATAGAGCACCAACTAGAATATCCAAAAGAAGTGTAAGTTTACTCAAATAATTAACAGCTTTTATACAATGTGTACTTAAATTGGAACAATATGAAAAACTTTTAATATTAGTTTTACAAAAGAAAAGTTACATTTTATATAAAGTTCTGCTTGGTCCTAAATATGGTTCCAACTTAAGTAGATATATTGTAATATAGGAATAAATTAAAGCAGTAACATTTTTAGGAATAACAGTGTGTTTTAGTTAATCAGCTACTAATGACTCTTAGGTTCTATGCCACTGGAAGTCATTTAAACTCTATAGCTGACTTTGAAGGAATAGATACATCCACAGTTTCAAGAATTATTGCAAGAGTATCTCAAAAATTTATTTGGATTTATTTGCAGATAATATTTGTGCTTTGAATAATTTAACCCTGAGTTCATGTTCAGTTTTTGCCATTGATACTATATTTTTGGCATGCTCTTTTTGATATGCTGCTATTTCTAACCGCTCATCTAACAGCTTATTAAACTTAACACTGATATCACTTGTTGTTAAAGGTGTGCCAATTGTTTTTGATCTTCTTCTTGTCAAGTCTTGCTCACATGTTAATTTAGCCTATAGAAAGAAAACAACATTTAAAAGAAAGCTCATAATTTCTAGATATAATAATTACCGATAGGGTTGTAGGTGTTAGTTTAGCACTCTTTACTGATGTTAAATTTCAAACTTTGTCTTCCAAATATTTTGAGTTCCCACATCTTTGGCATTTTCTTTGTTATCATCATGGAAAGTATAAGCTGTTCTTGTAGTTAAAAAATTGTCAATATCATCATTTTTAGAACCCATAGACAACCTCAATAGTCTCAGGTTCTTGTAATTTTGCATCTGAGAGCACTGCATCATCGTCATTGAGATTATCCATCCCAACTACAGTCTTTTTGCTCAATATAGATAGTAACAAATCATCACCTGGCTCTTTTTTCTTCTCTACCTCTGGAAGTCCTCCTCCGGTTTTATAGAGCTCCCTTTGGTCACAGGCAACTGATTTTCTTAACAGCTTCTTTCTATTATCATAACATCGTTTCAGACATTCTACTTCTCTAGGACAAGATGTTCCTAACCTGTTAAATTCCATTTTTTCGCTGCTCGTGACGGCGTCTGTTTTTTTATTCTCTATTATGTGCTTGTATTTGGCCACGATATTAATTAATATTAATTTATTATTATTTGTAAAATAACTAGATCTTTTTCTTTTATTTTCCATAATAATTATTTAAAAAATAATTTTGAATCACTTATTAACTAGTATCCGTTAAACTCGCAATATTTTTGACGTGTCAGTCAATTTTTTACACATAATACTTGATTTTGACGTTCCATTTCAGAAATTGTGCCAACTTTAAAAAAAAGTCTATATGGTTTTTAGTGAACTTAATTAACTTTTACCTAGTGCAACAGTTAACAAATTAACGTAAGATTGTTTTTAAAACCGAGTTTACTTAATCATTAATAAAAATTCGGTGCAACGATCCATTACACATATAAAACATATAAAAATTGAACTAAAACATGTAATAGTAATAAAAAAACACAAATATTGAAAATATTAGGGGACATGTTTTACTCTTCCAAAATAATCGTTAATGTCTAGTACATAATATATTTTTAATTTGCTGTTTAACTTTTTTCCTGGTAAATTACAGATGTGGGGTAGAAGTGCATTATAGAAGAAAATAACTTATTGTTTGGGACTTGTTTATTCCAGTTCTTATTTGGATTAGCTGATTTTTTCTTCTGGTATCATATTCATGATTATTTAAGTACCATGTACAAGTTCTCAAATTACATTTTTTACAGCTATAAGGTTTTAAAATAATATTTGTGAAAACTAAGTTGTTAAAATAGTGATTCACATTGTTCATTACAGTAAAATAGATCGAACTGCTGACAGTGCTGACTTTTGTAGGATATAAATTCTTTGTAATTAGAATCCCATATGTTAAATTAAAATGGAATAAGCCTTAGTGTGCAGTTATTGCTCTTTCTGTATTGACTATATTTGATATGCTACGTAGCGCAAACGATAATATTTGGGGACAAATCATGCGCTGTACACAAAAATTGTATACAGCGCATGATTTGTATCGAAATATTTTTTTTAGGCTTGTTGGAAAAAAACTAATATATGTCGAGTAATTGAATGTTTATTGTATTACTAGTTGTTTAGTTTAACCTAAAAACACATATTTCAGTTTTGTTGTGATTTATAATTAATTCGTTGCTATCAAACCATTTTTTGGCATCAATCGTACAGTATTTGATAACTATGCCAGATGTGTTGCTGCAGTTGTAGGACAAATTGGTATCATTTGCATACATGGTAGTTAGTAAGTCGGCATTACAGAAACCTTTATTGACAATAGTTACACTCACGAAAAATAGTAGTTCTCATTAGCAATATAAAAAGAACTCACCTGGCATTAGTAACTTTCATTTGCAATATAAAAACCTCACTTGTAATAGTAACTCTCATTTGCAATATAGAAGCCCTCACTGTTAAAATAAAAAAGCAATATGCTTATTTGACAACTAGGTATTTGTAGAATATCGAAGATAAAATTACCAAAAAACATTTCATTAAAGCTGCGACTCTCAAGCAGACATACATAATACTTAATGAAAAAATACGGAGAAAACCTGTGATAGTATAGTTTTGTCTAACTAGAATAACATAACGTATATTATGTCATTACTGGTGTGTCCTGCAGCCAAACTCTGTGTCATGTGGAAAGCGACGTGTAGATTACCATACACCAATGCGACTTTCATTTCACCATGATGCGGTTTTGTTACTCTGTGTCACTGTCGCCTAACATTCGGACATTATCGTGAAAATGGTGCTGATTGCTCCAATGTAGACTTTTTTATGTTTCTTTATTTTGGGTGTGGTTGTTTAGATGTATTGTGAAATTTGAAATAGTGCGTTTTGATTGGCTACCTCTACCTTATTTCCACTACACTATCGACATCGACACTATCCGTTTAGTTTAGATGGCTATGTGTTTTGATAAGTTTTGACACGTATTGTTATTCATTTCTTAGCATTGTTTTTACTTTCTTTGAAAATAATGTTCTATGCTCTATGTTGAGAATGTTAAATATATTACATAATAATTCTTCGGATATCTCCCGTTCGGGTATTTTTAATAATTATAAATACATTTCTAATCTCGAACGTTCATAACAAAAGCATTTTTAAGCAATCTATATTTTAAAAGAATTGTAGTTTCGCACAATGAACCCACAAAATTTATTTGCTTTAGAAATTTATATGCAAATATTTTGTAGTTTAAAATTTAGTTTAGAGTTAAGCCATACACCAAGGTTCTTAATCAATTCAATACGAGATAAAAAAACTTATGTCTATTTTATACTCATATTCAATGATTTTTTTAAAGAAACAATTGAATCGGTTATTACTAAAACACCCAAAATCATATTTTCGAGATTTTTAGAAAATGAAAAAACGCGTCGATTACTTAAGGTAAAACGCGGTAAGACAACCTCTCATATCTCCCCCCATATGTTATGTGTTGTCTTACAGTTTTTTAGCACTAATCAATGGGGGTATATCAAAAAATTGGATTTTCCTATAAATCTCATTATAACCAAATAAGACTTAAGAGGTTTTAGTAATAACAGATGCAATTGTTGTACATTTAAACATTTTTTACACACCAGTTGTTGACAGTGTCAAAGGTTATAATGTTGGGTATCTCAATCGAAGCTACTTTATCTTGAAAATAAGATTTTTTAAGTCATCCGCATATATTAAATTATTACATGTTAGAAGTTTAGACAGATCATCAATCAAAAATAAAAATAGTAGAGGCCAAGATTTGATCTTTGCGGAACTCCTGATTAGGCAATATATTTGCTAGAACTGTAGTAATTGTAAAAAACAAATTGCTTTCTCTTGAATTAAAAAAAAAAATGTATGACAGATTTAAATCCAAATTTTGGCAATTTATTTAACATAATAGAATTATTTATTTTATCGAAGGCCTTTGAAAAGTCTGTAAGATCACGTCTACTTGACCTTGTTTATGTACAACCTTTGATAAATACTGTGTAAATATTGTTTGATTACTGATTTCTGATCGTTGTTTGAGGAAAATATGGTGTGAATAAGAAATCTACCCGAACATGACGAATTGCTCAAATAAGTATACTTTATGTTTCTACAAAAAAAATAAATTTTTGAAAAACAGGAAGTGTGATATTGTCCGGTTCTGCTTTAAATCCTGTAACGTCGCAGCAAGATAATCCTGGAGGATAACGCCAAGAACCGAACGTGACTTGTAACATGACACTCGAGTCCTTTGTCTTTTGTTTTTGCAGGAAAGAGACTTCATATTTCAAATTGTTTTTACTTCCGTGTTCGTAAGGAGTGCTTGTTAGAGAAAAGTTAGGGCTATGAACTGTTGGTTTAGCGAAAGACTGCATTTGTACCGTAAAATTGTCGCTATGACCTCGTCCCTTTAAATTCGATTGTTCACGTTATTGCTAATGTGTTCCATATATAATTGTACTTATGATGAAGCTCCCAAAATTATTAAATAGAAAACTACTTTTATTTTATAGACATATAAAACCATAAATATTTAATTAAATAATTTTTGTTTTAAGATATTCATTTTAGTCCGATACCTTTGCAGATTATTTGTTAAAATAAAGCACAATACCGCTCTTGCTAAAATTATAATCTTCGTCATGCATCGCTAAAGCGATTGAAACAACAATAGTGTACATGAATGAAGTCTTACTTTAAATTTGTTTACTTTTTTACCTGTTGTTGGCCGGAACCGTAATATTGGAATATGGTAACTGTATTAGAATTACCTAATGACAACATACTGCATAAATAATCAGCTGCCACACATAACATTCTTTTAAATCGGAGTGTACCTCTATCTCGCTTTTACTCTTTGGTTTAGGGTTTAAATTGGGGGTAGCTCTATCTCTCTCGATTATATTCTTTGATTTAGCACTCTAAAATAAATTTTATATATAGGTACTGATAAAGGGTAAAGTGTAAAAATTACTTTAGGTTAAATTATATCCTAATTTAAAGTTTATAATGTAGCAAAACAGGACGTTTTTACAAGTTATAATACAAGCCAAATAATTTTATTTTGCGAGAAATGAAGATTTTAAAACTGTGGCGACATTGTGATCACCACATAAACTTACCTTTAGTTTGACTTTTATGTCATTATTATTTGAGACCCACTTACTTTGATTACTATACGGTACAAGCAAGAGGTCCGACACTACATACTTTGATTTTCTTTTACTATACGGAGAATGGTCGCACTGCGCAGCTTTCTGAGTGCCTTTTAAAAGAAGATAGAAAACTCCGCCATTTTGAACCCTTATTACGTGTTGCCTACATCTTGGCGCAATATTTTTAATAGGTGCGTTTTAAACATCCGCTTCTACTCCGGAATTGTCGGTTTTCTTGTTTTAATCTGACAGGTTAAAACGACTAAACCGACAATTCCGGAAGTAGAAGCGGATGATTAAAACGCACCTGATATTTTGCTTGCTGCTGTCAGTGTCAGTGAATATTATTTTTGAAGTCACAGTTTTTTGCTAAAGAATCAGTTAGCTCGCTCGGACCAGTTGAAAATTCCAAAATAACATCCACCCCAGGGATACAAATTCAGGATACGCAGAAGAATGCTGTTTTATTATAGGCGGTTATCATATATTGTATTATCCGAGTTGCACAGTGTATAAACTGAAACATTGAGATCCAAAGTGCCGACGCAGAGTGAGCGATCTGATTCTTTAGCCGTAAACTGTGTCACAGGGTTCAAAATGGCCGCGCCCTATGTTGGGCGTGTCGGACCTCTCTCTTGCCTCGTATAGTAATCAAAGTATGTGTCCGACACGCCCAACATAGAGCGCGGCCATTTTGATTCCTATGCCACAGTTTATAGCTAAAGAATCAGATCGCTCACTCTGCGTCGGCACTTTTGATCTCAATGTTCTAGTTTATACACTGCGCAACTCGGATAACACAATATATGACAACCGCCTATAATAAAACAGCAGTCTTCTGCGTATCCTGAATTTATATCCCTCGAGTGGATGTTATTTTGGAACTTTCAACTGGTCCGAGTGAGCTAACTGATTCTTTAGCAATAAACTGTGACTCCAAAAATAATAATCACTGACACTGACAGCAGCAAGCAAAAT